CACACACACACACACACACACACACACACACACACACACACACACACACACACACACACACACACACACACACACACACACACACAGACACACACACACACACACACCCTCCTTCCCTCCCTCCCTCCCTCTCTCACACCTCATCCATCTCACACCTTATCCTGTGCAGCATCTTCTTTAAGGTCGCCACATCTCCTTATCTCCCGTTGGACTGCATCAACTCCTACAGCCTTCGAGATGACCTCAGGAGGACGCCTCTCTCTCTCCTTTGCCGTTAATGCCTGTCTTGGCGCCATTTTTTCGCTCTGGTGTGTTCGTGTAAGGAGGGGGAAAAGGGAGAGGGAGATGAGAGGGAGGGAGAAAGGAGAGATGAGAGGGAGGGAGAAAAGGGAGATGAGAGGGAGGGAGAAAGGGGAGATGAGGGAGGGAGGGGGAGGGGATGGTGGGAGAAAGGGAGATGAGAGGAGGGAGAAAAGGGAGATGAGAGGGAGGAGAAAGGTAGATGAAAGGAGAGAGCGAGAAAGGGGAGAGGGAGAGAGCGAGAAAGGGGAGATGAGAGGGAGGGAGAAAGGGGAGATGAGAGGGAGGAAGAAAGGGGAGATGAGAGGGAGAGAGAAAGGGGAGATGAGAGGGAGGGAAAAGGAGATGAGAGGGAGGGAAAAGGGAGATGAGAGGAGGAGAAAAGGAGATGAGAGGGAGGGAAAGGGAGATGAGAGGGAGATAAGAGGGGGGAGAGGGAGGGAGAAAGGGAGATGAGAGGAGGGAGAAAAGGGAGATGAGAAGGAAGGAGAAAAGGGAGATGAGAGGGAGGAAAAGATATGAGAGGAGGGAAAAGGGAGATGTAGGAGGAGAAAGGGGAGATGAGAGGGAGGGAGAAAATGGAAATAAGAGGGAGGGAGAAAAGGGAGATGAGAGGGAGGGAAAATGGAAAATTGAGATGAGAGGGAGGGAAAAATGGAGATGAGAGGGAGGGAAAAAGGGAGATGAGAGGGAGTAAGAGGGTGTATACGAGTAAAGAGGACGCGGGATGTGAATTGGTTTTGAAAAATGAAAATGAAAAGAATAGGTTAAGAGAACTGTTTTTATTAATTTAATTTTGGTTATGTTAATGTTTAATTTGTTTTACTGATACTGCTTCACTCTTTATGATATTAATTTAATAATTTGGATGACGTTTTATTTCGTTAATGTATTTGCGGTTGACCTTCGTTTGACCTTACGTTCGCCTTTAATGTTCTCGTGATTATTCTTTATTTATTACCTTCCCTCATTTATATTTCCATGTTTTTGTCTTTCTCTTCTTTATTTTTTGGTGTTCATCTTCCTCCTTTTTCTTTTTCTTTTGTGATTGCATTGGTGCATTTTTTCTATGTGATTTTCATCTTTGATACTGTATTTATTTATTTATTTATTTATTTACTTATTTTTTATCAACTTCACATGTAGTTATTTCTCGCCATTCTCTTGTGGTGCATTTTTTTACTATGGGATTTTCATCTTCGATATTGTATTTATTTATTTATTTTTTTTTTATCAACTTCACATGTAGTTATTTCTCGCCATTCTCTTGTGGTGCATTTTTTCTATGTAATTTTCATCTTTGATATTGTATTTATTTATTATTTTTTTTTTTTATCAACTTCACATGTAGTTATTTCTCGCCATTCTCTTGTGGTGCATTTTTTTTTACTATGTGATTTTCATCTTTGATATTGTATTTATTTATTTATTTATTATCAATCTCACATGTAGTTATTTCTCGCCATTCTCTTGTGGTGTATTTTTTTCTGTGATTTTCATCTTTGATATTGCATTTATTTATTATTTTTTTTTTTATCAACTTCACATGTAGTTATTTCTCGCCATTCTCTTGTGGTGCATTTTTTTCGATGTGATTTTCAGCTTTAATTGGACGAAGAGTAACTTTTTTTCTCCATCTGGACGTTTTAACCTTCTCGCGGAAGTTAGGTAGACAGCCGGCAGAAAAAAGGCGGGAAAAGGGCGAGCGGCGTGTGGCCGGTTAGTGGGACGCGTGGGGGCTTTTCCGTCTCCTTCGCCTTCTCTCAGATTCTTTCTCTCCCTCTACCTGTTTCTTATTTTCTCTCTTCCTGTCTGTTTCTCTATCTATCTATCTGTGTCTCTCCTCTTTCTCCCTCCTCCACCCCCCTTCTCTGTCTATCTATCTATCTATCTATCTGTGTCTCTCCCCCTCCTCCCCCCCCCCTCTCTCTCTCTCTCTCTCTCTCTTCTCTCTCTCTCTCTCTCTTCTCTCTCTCTCTCTCTCTCTCTCTCTCTCTCTTCTCTCTCTCTCTCTCTCTCTCTCTCTCTCTTCTCTCTCTCTCTCTCTAAACTTTTAATTCCTCCCGTATTATTTGCATACTTACACCTGTCTTGCCTCCCAATTTTCTCTTTGATTTTCATTTCCGAAACAAACGCGCCCACACGCCTCCTCGTTAACCTTCTCTCTTCGTATGTTTTATTAATTTTTTATTCATTTCTTTTTCTGAATTTAACTTCACCAGGAAAGTCTTGGAGGATGGGCTGTGTACTCGGAAAGCGGGACGATGGTTGCTTGGCCTTAGAGATAAAGGTCAAGGCGAAGGAAAACGGGAGTAGTCTTGAGGTGAAAAATCTTGACAGAGAAAAAAAAAATAAAAAAAATACGGAAGGGAAATATACGAAAAAATTTGCCGTAGAGATTTAAAAAAAAACTTCAAACTGCGAGAAAATCGGAATATTCTAAGACGAAATGACGTAGATTTTTTAAAAAATCTTTAAACCGAAAGAAAATCGTGATATTCTTAGGCGATAAATGGTGACAAAGAGAGAGAGAGAAAGATCTTCAATCTACGAGTATATGTATATATATATATATATATATATATATATATATATATATATATATATATATATATATATATAGACACATATTCATATATATGAACATACATATGTAAACAGTATATATAGAAATCAGAATATTCTAGGACGAAAAGCATTGACATAATATAAATAAGTCTTCAAACCGAAAAAAATCGGAACATTCTTAAACGAATCTTAATCTTCGAGAAAATCCGATTATTCCAAGGCGAAAAATGTTGACAAAAATTAAAAAAAAAACACACATCACCAACAGTGATTGCCTGGTGAATGAATGCTTATCTTTTATGCGTATCAGTGAGATATGTTGGATCTTAGAGTCCTCATTAGATGTTTAACTCTGACGCGTTGTTGAGGTCTGGCTCATCAGGTGAAGAGAAGTTAGAATAGTCCTTACCGGTGACAGTGAATGAAGAAATGAATATGTGATATGATGAATGGCCACGACGGTTATAGTTATGTTCATAATAGTAACGGTATTCCGAATTACTATACTGAAGAGGATGGCGGTAATGGTTGCATCAAGAATTCACATTTTACGAAAGAAACTCAACGTGGTTAAAGTCCTCCAAGCAAGTGGCCGGTTTATCAACAGGGGGATCGGAGTCACAACACAGGATACCGTATCAGAAGACATAGGCCTTTTTTCGATGTCGGACCCAGTAAATATTCATATGTACGGACTGACTGCATATCTGTCTATCTGTCTGATATACATTTATCTGTCTATCTATACGTTAGATATTGCATATCTGTCTATTTGTCTGATACACATTTATCTGTCCATCTATACGTTAGATATTGCATATCTGTCTATTTGTCTGATACACATTTATCTGTCCATCTATACGTTAGATATTGCATATCTGTCTAGCTGTCTGATATACTTTATCTGTCTATCTATACGTTAGATATTGCATATCTGTCTAGCTGTCTGATAGGTATACATTTATCTGTCTATCTATATGTTATATATGCATGTGTAGATTGATAGAAGAGCATTTATCATACCGTATACACCTCGCACAAATAAACAAACCAGCCGATAGTCACAACGGGGATAAGTTACGAGTTCTGTATTCGCTAGTTGTATTTTCACCCTTATTATAATATAAAAAAAACTCGTGCAAGGAGTTTATATCATGCGCAGTACAAAGACCGCCTGGAATTTCGTTGTAAAAAAAGTTCCTCCGGATAAACGAGACTGTTATAATACTCCTATTCAAGAGTCATGCTTTTCAGGGCTCGCAGTTGGTGGCTTTCTAAAACTTTTCGCTGCGTTTACAAAGTCAAAGGTATATCTTGTTTGACGGGTTCGTAGCGCTGCGCAAACACAAACTTTATGATATTTAAATTGCATGATAAAAGGAAATGTTTCGTACTGCGCGGCCGTATTTGTTTGAATTATTATTTTTTTCATATTTTTACTATTATTAGTATTACTGCTTTTTTATAATATTTTTACTGCTATTATTATTAGTATTAATACAAGCATTACTACTGCTATTCCTTCTGCTGCTGCTATACGGCTACAACTATAACTATTACTACTATTACATTTACTTTTGCTATACGATTTCTACTATAGCTGCTGCCACTACTACTACTACTACTACTTCTGCTTCTGCTATATGGCTACTACTATAACTACTACTACTACATCTACTTCTGCTCTACAACTGCTATACCTGTTGCTGCTACAACTACTGCTGCTAGTAGTAGTAGTAGTAGTACTATTACTACTACTACTACTACTACTACTACTACTACTATTGGCGCTGCTGCTGTTAATGCTAATACTATTACTACCCATTGGCATGGTTATAATTCACTACTGTTCGCATATCACGGTCAATAAACGGATAAATCTGTTCAGAAATGTACAGTATATGGAGTTATATACAGTAATGGAATATGTGATAGGGAGTATTTGGACACAAAGCTTCTTCAAAGAGGTTATTGAAAAGGTCTTTTATGCGTCAGCCTTACATAAAAAACGGCAGCATTCCCCAACGTCATTGCTTTGGTAGGTATTCGAGTCAAGCTTCGGGTCGCGTGGTCGAGGTTTCGAAAAGCGAGGCGTGTTGAGTCGCAGAAGTCAAAACCCGTTGTGGAGATTGTGGTGTCTGGGTGACGGATAGTGACGCGTGATCCGGGTGCTGAGTTTTGTATATTCACGAAGGAAATGATTGTGTTTTTGTAAGAAGAGAGAGAAAAAAAACTGTGTCGTGTAAACTGTGTATTTTTAAAGGAAATAAGTCGAGCTGGATTTTTGTTATTGTGTGAGTTTTGGATTTGGAAGGAAAGCTAAAAACTATCCATACGTGTCTAAGAAAGCAAACATCTCTGTTTCTGTGACGGAGTGAATTTGGAAAAAGAAACACTCCCTTGGAACTAGAGCCCTTGATTGCATTTATAAATATGTCTGCCGAGTGTCATTATATTTCAGAACTCGTTTTAATCGAAAAGTAATTTGCAGATTGTTTGGCGAGTCAGTTTCAACTTTCACGCTGACATATAATTAAGAAATTGCAAGTATTCATTATTGTCTTGCAAAGTATGCATGCGTGTTACTTGTTATTTACATTGCATATCAAAATCCCATGACTATTCGATACTGAAATCTGATTTGGCGTTGACAGAAAACCTCTCTTTTCTCTGAAGTGTAAACTTTCCTTCCCTATTTCAAATACAGTGGGGTTTGGCAGCCATCTGTTCAACACGGTAGAAAGGTTTGTTATCCGTGATTCATCATTTAACGTGGATCCGCGTGCGTTGTCATCGCAAAAGTTGCTCTTCAAACTAATTAAACAGAGTGTCATTCCGTCGCGCCTACAAAATTGAGTTAACGCGGAGCCTCGGGCACGCCGTCGTCAGCGCAAATATGCCGAGCTTGTGGACTTTAACGCAGTAAGAAAATGCCAAACCGTGAATTTCGAATAAGGTCCGGGAGAGGAAAGGGCGAAGCAATGACGACACCGAAGCAGATGATGAAAATAAGGTTGTGTATCCAGTAAGTGCCGATAGTCCACCGCACTTTCTCTCCTGTGGATGGTCTGGTGAGTTGATATGCATACAAGTAGAGTGTACTGCTCCAAGTATTAACGTGCGGATAAACTTTTAACTGATCTTGCATATACTAGCCACTTAGGTAATTACGTATTCATGGAAAATACTAGTACCTTGTTCATAAATTACGCAGTAATAAGTATCCGTTTTTTTTCTAATCTTTTTTTAATACGTGTACGTGTATATGTACGTGTGCAGTTAAGTACATGCATGTGCACCCATTATCCTCTTTGAGAGATTTTTAAAAGTGCACCATGAGCTTAACCCAAAAGTCCTTTCTCCGTTTATGTAAATCCACCTCAGTCACAATTGACTCTATTACCAGCAGGGAGAGAGACATTAACGGTTAAGAGCGCTGTGTGCCTAGATACTATAAAAAGAATATATATATGTGTGTGTGGGTGGCGTGTGTGTGCGTGTGTGTGCGCGTGTGCGTGTTCGTGTGCGTGTGTGTGTGTGTGTGTGAAGAGAAAGAAAGATTATATTTGTGGGGGAGAGTATTTTCGTTTGTGTATGTACTTGTGCATATACACATGGATGGATGTATACGTAGGCCGACATAGCCCTAACGAACGCATCCAGTCATCAGTCTTCAGCAAGAAGCAGTCATCTTACACAATGGTGTAATTAGACGACATAGCAAAGATGAGCCCATTGCCATACGTCTATGTCGGATAAAAAGAAAAGCTCTCCGTTACTTCAAGCTCTTTCTTAACAATTCTCAGCCTCTGTCCGCAAGACCTCTTTTCAATCAAGTGTAACGTTCCCTCCAGCGCCATCTTGCCCTGCTCGACTTCTCTTCATCCATTCCCTCCTCCTCCTCTTAGCCACTTCTTTTGCGGTATTTCAAGCTCCTTCTTCACCTCCGTCCACTAACTGCCCGCAACTCCATCAGCCCGTAATAAATCATCTCGGAACCCACTTGAAACTTAAGTCGTTGCGAGTCAACAGTTTTAGCCCTCTTCCCCTGTCCGTTCCCCCTTCCTCCGGCAGGGAAGTCGGAAAATTACCCACTTCTTGCTTACCCTCATCCTCTCTTCCTCCCCTCAGTGTCCTTCACCCTCCCCGCCCTCGCGCCCTTCCCCTTGTCCCTTGGAAAGCCCCAAACGCGCACGACGACGACCCTCGCACGGAGCTCTTGGGGAGGAGAGGCCCTTCGAGGCGAGAGAGTCTGATCTTTATTAGAAAAAGGGGCTGAAGGAGCGGGAAGGGGAGGCTCCGCTCGTTACGGAGGTGTAGTGAAAGTTGATTTAAAGAGAATGGCGTGTAACCGGGCGTGACGGTTTTCCCTTTTCTTCAAGAGAATGATTATAGGTCGGCCACGGAGTACGACGGTATAAAAAACTTTTTCGATTTGTGACGACTGGCAGGCGAACGGAGAAAACTTAGAAGGATGCAATGCAATACCTACCGGAGAGGCGAACGGGGTTTCAAAGAGACTTTATAAATGCAAGATAAGACTCGCTTGCAAGAATGCGTCTTCCAGGATGAAGGCTTGGAGTAATCCTTTTCAAAGGGGATCATTCCTGTCATTTTGTTGCTAGAGTCAGACCCTCGTCTGATGCACTGTAGGTTGCGCTGAAAAGAGAGATAAGAAAGTGTTATGAATTAAGGGTGAAAGGGAATGGAATTTTGTATCGTTGCTACTTTTAGAAATGTGATGGAAATAGTTCAGAAAATGTGTAAATTTAGAGGATGGAAAGGTAGACAAGATCAAGATGTTTATAGCGAGAATGTAAAACCAAGATTCGAAGCGGCATTTGTTGACATCCTTTGCAGGGACGAGCCTCCACGGGCGTTGGTGAAGCAGCGTCCGTCGGAGAGGGAGGGAAGCCGAGCGCCAGCCCGGTCGGAGGAACAAGGCTTGAATTCCCGACCTCATTCTGAAACCGAGTGATCATGAATATTATTTTCATCACGCGGCGCGGTTTTCCTCTCGATTTGCTTCAGGGACGGGGCCAGGGGGTGGGGGCATGGGGGCAGGGAGCGGGATGGGGTCGTGGAAGATGAAGAAGTGAATGAAGTGGAAGAGGGTCAGGGAGAGAAAGGGAATAGGAAAGGGGGAAGGGAGGAGAAGAGGGAGAATTAAAGAGGGAAATGGACAGGGAGAGGAAGGGAGTAGGGAGGGAAGAGGGGAAAATGACAGGGAAAGGAAGGGAGTAGCGAGGGGAAGAGGGAAAATGACAGGGAAAGGAAGGGAGTAGGGACGGGGAGAGAGAGGAGGTAGGGACTGGAAGAGGGCAAAGGAAGGGAAAGAGGCAAGGAGGGGAAAGGTACAGGGAGTTGGAAAGGGGCAGCGGGAGGGGAGTCGGGGCAGCGGGCGGTGACTTATGGCAGGGACGTGGAGGAAGAGAAGGGAAAAGAGGGAGAGATGCTGGTCCATCTGCGTCTGCGGGGAGTGATGGAAGAGCGAGCGGGGAGGGCAATGTTATTTACGACTGGAACGCGGCGGGAATTGGCTGTAAATAACATTTTTGCCAACTAACAAGCCATGCATCATTCGCTGCCGTTTGGTTGCATAGATGTATCGCGGGCCCATTATGGGGAGGGGGAAGTGAATGAATGAACTGACGTGAATTACTCGAACGCGGAAAAACAACGACGCGCGGGGTGGTTATTTTAGGAGCCTCGTTGGCTGCGGTGGTTAATGGAGAATTTTATTCCGGGGCCTTAACTTTGTTGCCTAAACCGCGGTCCCTCGCCACCATCGACGTTGCCTCCCCTGTAAAAACACAGAAAACGGGGCCCCACCTAAGCAAACAGCGGCGGAGGGACTATTTGCATTTCCCGCCAAAAATCCATCAAGATCTCGCGGATCTTGTGTTTTGCAGATCTCGCTTCTTGTTCGGACGGCAGATGGAAAAATGTAAATGTCAGAGGATAATGTTACATGGATGGAAATGTATGTGCTGAATGTGTTTTTCGTCTATCCTTTCATCTCCATTATGTTCTACTCATCCCCCTTCTTCTTTTTCTCTTCCTCCTCCTCCTCGTCCTCCTCACCTTCCTCCTCGTCCTCACCCTCCTCCTCGTTCTCACCCTTCTCTTCCTTCTCGTCCTCTTCCTCTTCCTCCTCCTCCTCCTCCTTTTACTCGTCCTCCTCCTCTCCTCCTCTTCCTCACCCTCGTACTCTTCTTCCCCATCCTCCTCCTCCTTCATCACTTCCTCCTTACCCACTTCCACATCTTTTTCTCTCCCTTTCGCTCTTCTTTCCTTTCCCTCCTCCTCTTCTTTTCTTTTTCCTCTTCCTAAGAGGCCTGGACACACACACACACACACAACACACACACAACACACACACACACGTACACACACGTACACACACACACACACAACACACACAACACACACACACACACACACACACACACACACACACACACACACACACACACACACACACGTACACACACGTACACACACGTACCCAACCCCCCCCCCCCCCCCCACCCACCCACCCACTCTCCGTATCGCCGCCCGCATCACGCAGCCGATCGTCCCCGCGTCGCCGGCAGCCATCGCGGAGAACGACCAGCGCATCGCCGACTTCCGGAGAAATTCCCGGGGACAGACGACCCGCCAGGACCACTAAAGCCCCATGATAACTGGAGCTCGCTGGGTCGTCTCGCGTCGTGCTGGGAATATTGAGGTGGGGAGGCGGAGGTGGGAAGTGGGATGGGGTGGGAGGGATGGAGGTGGGAGGTGGGAAGGAGGAAGTAGGAGGAGGGGTGGGGAAGGAGGAAGGAGGGATGGAGGGGAGTAGAGGAAGGGAGGAAGGAGGATGGAGGGGGGAGGAGGGAGGAGGGATGGAGGGGGGAGGTGGGAGGGAGGAAGGAAGGATGGAGGGGGGAGGGAGGGAGGAGGTGGGGAAGGATGGAGGTAGGAAGGAGGATGGAGGTGGGAAGGAGGATGGATGGGGAGGTAGGGAAGGAGGAAGGAGGAGAGATGGAGAGGAAAAGGGGGAAGAGGGAAGGGGGGAGGGATGAAGAGGAAAAGTGAGAAGAGGGGGAAAGGGGGTAGTGGGAGAGGGTGGGAGGGAGGGGGGAGGGAAAGGGGAAAGTCTGAGAGAGAGGGTGGAGAGGGAAGGGAAAGATAAGAAAGAGGGATAGAGAGGGAAGGGGAAATGGAAGAGATGAGTGGAAAGGGAAAGGGAGGGAGAAGAGATGGAGAGGGAAAAGGGGAAGTAGTAGAGATGATTAGAGAGGGAAGCGGACATGGAGAACTGAGATACGGAAAGGAAAAGGGGAATGGAAAGGGGAGAGGGTATAAAGAAGAGAGGCATAGATAGGAAAAGAGAAGTAGAAAGAAACAGACCGACAAACAGACAGGCAGGCAGACAACTAGACAGACAGACAACTAGACATGCAGGCAAAGAAGACAGACAGAGCGAACTAAAAACAGAAATAAACTGAATAATAAAAAAAAGAGAACAGCTCCTCAACGCCCATTAAGCATCTCGTAAAATCCGGCCTCTGAGTAGGTGTCGATATTCGCGGTAAACATCAACTCCCGCAAGACACAGAAGAAAAAAAAAACATTGCCCCATAGCAGTGTGTTATGGGGTGGGGTGGGGGGGGAGAGGTGGGTGGTGCTTGTGGGGATGTGGGGGTGGGTTGGGTGCGTTAGATGGTGTTGGAGAGGTGGGGTGGGGGTGCGTAATGGGGGGGGGCTTTAGTGCGGAGAGGGATGGGGTAGGAAGGGTAGGGGGGTGCGTAAGTTTAAGTATGGGATTGGGGGTGACGAGGTAAGTACGGTGGTGGGGAGGGGGAGGGGTGTTTACGTACGTATGTATGTGGGAGGAGGAGGGGAGTGGTGTCGTAAGGAGGTAAGGGCATAGGGGAGGAGGGAGGTGGGGGAGGGGGGAGAAAAACAGGCTCTTTGAGGATATTTGTGCATTTTTGTATCGCCTTTTTTCTCCACTTTCTATCCCCCTTCTCCTTTCCCCTCTCTTTTTTTTACTTTTCTTACCCTTTCCCCCTCTCTTCTCTTACTTTTCTTACCCTTTCCCTCTTTCTCTTACTTTTCTTACCCTTTCCCCTTTCTCCCTCTCCTTTACGCTTTAACCCCGTCCCTCTCCCCTTCCCCCTTGCCCTTACCTCTCCCATTTCCCCCTTTCCCCTTATCCTTACCTCTCCCCTTCCCCTTGCCCTTACCCTCTCCCGTTCCCCCTTTCCCTTATCTTACCCTCTCCCCTTCCCCCTTGCCCTTACCCTCTCCCTTTCCCCTCTCCCCCTTACCCTCTCCCTTTCCGCTCTCCCCCCCCCTTTTCCCTTGTGGTCGAGTGATTTTTCTCGAGTCATAAGTAGAATTGTTGATGTTATGTGTATTTGCAGCCATGCCTTCGCGCAGGTAGAGTCAGGCGGAGAAATGACGCGATAGGGGTGGCGGGGAGGAGGTGGTGTGACGTTGGAGGGAGGTGTGAGGGTGAAGCTCAGCGGGTGGTGTTCTGTGAGTCGTTGTTAAATGTCGCCTCCATCTTTGGGGATTTGCCATAATCATCTTCAGCCACCTTCGTTATCAGCATCACAACAGCCGCCGTCGCCGCCACCACAACCACCCTCACCCTCCTCATCACCACCTTTCATTACCACCACCACTACCGTCACCACAACCACCCATCACCACCACACCCGTCACCACCACCACCCGTCACCATCACCACCCGTCACCATCACCACCCGTCACCATCACCACCCGTCACCACCACCACCCTCACCCTCACCACCCGTCACCACCACACCCGCCCGTCACCATCACCACCCGTCACACCACACCTCACCCTCACCACCCTCACCCACACCCACACCACCACACCATCACCACCCGTCACCACCACCACCCTCACCCTCACCACCCTCACCACACCACATCTCCACCCATCACCACCCTCATCTCCACCCTCATCTCCACCCTCATCTCCACCCTCACCTCCACCCTCATCTCCACCACCACCTACGAACCCAATCCCTCAGACACGACCGAAGCGGACGAGCAGATAATGCCGGCGCGCACATCCCAACTCGAACGTAAATTCAGATTCAGATACAAATACAGATATGAAGATTCTCCGCTGGCAAACCAGATTTCAAAACTTGCATTAACCAATAATCCGAAGTCAGGGGAGGGGGAGGACGGGGAAGGGGAAAAGGGAGAAAGGGGGAGAGGACGGGGAAGGGGAGAGGGAGGATGAGAGAAGGTAGGAGAAGGGGGGGAGGAGGGGGGTTAGAAGGGGAGGGAGAGGGGAGGTTTGTAGAGGGGAGGGGGAGGAGGGGAGGTTTGTAGAAGGGGAGGGGGGGGGATGAGGGGAGGATGGGGAAAGAAGAGGATTAGGAGGGGGTTGGAAGGGGTGGGAGGAGGGGAGGTTTGTAGAAGGGGGAGGAGGGAGGATGGGAAGAAGAGGATGAGGAGGGAGGGTAGGAGAAGGGGGGGGAGGAGGGGAAGGGTGCTGCCAGGGGTTGAATGACAGAAACAGACTTACGGACAGATTTACGGCGTCCGCCTCTTGCAATGCGAGCGCGTAATGTGATTCCTTCGAGGGAAATATCGTAGAC